GAGAGAACCCATGAGTGGAGAAGGGGCAGAGAGAGAGGCGACACAGAATCTGAAGCAGCCTGAAGGAGGCTCCAGGCTCTGAGCTGTCAGCACAGAACCTGACATGCGGCTTGAACTCGTGAACCTCAAGATCATGACCTGAGCCGAAGTCAGACGCTTAACCAACTGAGCTGCCCAGGCAGCCCCTACTGACTCAGCCACCCAGGCGCCCCACCCTCCTTGTTTATTTCTAAGCCTGAGATATGATCTTTGTATTTCTTCTGACAGTGTACTTGTTCATAGGAATGAGGTTCCAGAGACTTTAGGCACGTACATTAGAAGAAAGCTACTTTTCGGGGCGCCTGGGTGGCGCAGTCAGTTAAGGGTCCGACTTCAGCCAGGTCACGATCTCGCGGTCGGTGAGTTCGAGCCCCGCGTCAGGCTCTGGGCTGATGGCTCAGAGCCTAGAGCCTGTTTCCGATTCTGTGTCTCCCTCTCTCTCTGCCCCTCCCCCGTTCATGCTCTGTCTCTCTCTGTCCCAAAAATAAATAAACGTTGAAAAAAAAAATTAAAAAAAAAAAAAAAAGAAGAAAGCTACTTTTCTAGGAATTTTTTGTGGAATAAATTAGTAAACTAACCAGTGAAAGGATTAAGTCTAAGGAGTTCTTTCATTCTCCAGTTAGGAGCCCTTAGTGCCCCTAAGTAAGTGTCCCTAAATAAGGTGAGTGTACAACAGGGAAGTCACACAACCTTTGAATCACCTGAGGGGCCTATGTTGTTCTACTTGAAGCTTGTAACAATTCTAGGGTTCCTGTACCTATTGCGATCAGGCAGCAGAGAGAGTGAGGAGCACACATTCCTCCTCAGGTTTGTTCTGCGTTCAGTTCACATACTCACATGCTATTCTTGCTCTAACGTGGCCTCCTTGGTTTGGGTTGTGGGCTCTGGAGCGAAGCACCAACTTGGACGAGAACTTTGGTTGTTTCTGGTTTTCCTGGGAATTTTTGGTGGGGAGGGTTTAGAGTATATAATTCGAAGGCAGTAATAAACCCTAGTGATTCAGAGGAAGCAGAGGCCTGGCGGGAAAGGGAGAGGGGTTCACAGTGTAACCAACTGTCACTGCCTGTCGCAGGGATCCCCCTCCAGCAAGCGGAGAAGCCCTTTGCTGCAGCCAATTATTGAGGGCGAAACTGCTTCCTTCTTCAAGGAGATAAAGGTGAGGACCTCCCGCTGCTCACCTCGTGCTGAATCCTTATCACTTTCCTGGCCTCCCTTCCTCTTGTGGACGCAGTGAGGTCATGCTTGGGCCCTCGGTGGTGGCTTCCTGTAGTGTGCCCTCAAAATCAGTAGTGCCCGGAACCACCTGTGATCTCTTACTGATACTGTGGTCGAGCTGATTTCCTTTATTGCATCTCATTCCCCTGCTTGTTTTGGTGTCTTATTTGTTGTTTGTTTTGTTTTTATTTTGCTTTTCGGGGATTTGGGGGGGGCGGGTTCACAATATTTTTTAGTTTTGTTTTTCCTCTCTTTGGAATGGATTTTCTGTATTCCAGAATCCTTTTTAATTAACTCATTGGGTAACTTCCACAGAAATCTTATTTACTGAGTTACTAGAAAACCCAAAATCAACTGGGGCAATACATATAGCATGCAACAAAATCTATCATTTTATAGACCGGTATCTTCCTTGTCTTTGACAGCTTGCTGGCACACTTTCACCCACTCTTCCTTCTTTTTTACTTTCCCCAAACACATTTAGTCCTCGGGGCTGATTGTATAATCTGCTCTTGATCTGGGAATATAGTACGATTGCCAGCAGTCACTGGAGTATATGCTCTGTTTTCTGCCCCCATAGTAATTATGGAGTTTATGCAGGTAATCCTTGTCTTCAGCGGCCGCTTTTGCTGGAGAGGGAGTACACTCTGTGCTCGCGGGTCTGTACATCTCTGTAGGGACCCAACTGGCCTGGACCAAGATCAGCCTCTTTCCTGGTTTTGTTTCCAGATAACTGGAACTGAACTGCCTTCTACAGGGCTCTAGAGATGAAAAGTCAGATTCAGTTTTGTTTTTGTTTTTGTTTTTGTTTTTGTTTTTTTAAATCAGTGATTGTATTTTAGCAGTTGTTTAAGTTGGAAAGGAATGTCAAACCCAAAGCAGAAGTGAGTTTCAGGAGTTTCACTTGTCATATTTCTGTGAAAGTTGCAGGCCTGAGGTGGTCATTTATTTACTGTAGTCAGGAAAGGTTATTACAGAATATGAGGGCCTCATTCCCATGAGGGACACCAGTTGAGAACTGCTCCATTGTCTTACCATGTCCTCATCATTATGATGGAAGGAAGGTACCAGAAGTTACACCATCTTCTCTCTTATTTATTCTATTCCTTTTCTTACTTCTTGGGGGCCTTAATTAAATACTTCATGGACCTAATTTGAAGGTATTAGGCAATGATTGTGCTCACTATTCATATTATTTTAAACAGACCTTGTTTTATGAAAATGCTCTAAACATAAAATTTAGGCAAATATGCTATATTATATTTTAAAAATTGGAGCTATTTTCTTACAATAAGATTTGATGTTGATGAAAGAAGACAAATTTTGTCTGGTAATTTCACACAAGAATGAAATCACCATCACTGAAGAAATTTGGGCAGTTGTGTGTATGAAAATTAGAAATTCTCTTAGAAGCACACCATAGAACTGTTACTAGATAAAAATGTGTTCTTTAATACATCCAAAATATGACAGTTAATAATTGCCTCACTAAATGAATGGAAGATATATCAATGATGACGGTCTCCCAAATCTTCTTGTTTGGCTTAGTTTATCTTTTTCACAAGTATAATTTGGCCATGGCTCTTCTCCTGGCCCATGTGGTGGTCAGAATTTCAGATAATTTTGCAATGCTTACATTGCTTTTGTAAATAGTGTTGTCTTTCGGTTCATTTTGTTCCAACTGGCCCAAATTATTAGCATGTGTTTGGATTGTACTAATTCTTGACAATTCTGATATAATTTAGAATTTGAGATGGGTGCAGATCAGAAGATTGTATCGATGTGGTTTCCTTAAAAACCACCCCTGGTTTTAAATGGTAGGAAACCAGCTGTGTATGACAAAGAGCCAGCTCAAGTTCTGGAGCCCAACATCTTCTAGCCCAAAAATCCTAGAGATAGTCTAGTCAGTTCTCCTTCCCAACATAAGAATTTCATTTAAAATTTATCTGACAGAATAGAGACACTATCTCTAAGAAGTGATTCCATCCTGAATCTTGAAAAGTTTACAACAATGGAGAAGTAAGGTCACTCATTCCATGGGCTAAGCTCCAATATTAGCTAAAAAGTGATTTTATAGTGTTAGTTTTATAATTATTATTGAAATACTAAAAAATAATATATAATGTGAAATTTCAGAATATAATAACTTTCATAACTATAAAAATGACTTAAAATTATAATATTCTTAGTTATTATTAATGTATGACTTTCTACTTAATAGGCTTAGTGTTGCCTTCTGGAACAATAAGGAATGAGCATAACTGCTTCTTCCTTAAGAGCCCGTCATGTCTTTACTGTCACCTCCCCTGTCTGCTCTCACCCACAGCCTGTGGAAGTTTTTTCTCCAAGTTCTTCTTCTTGTTCCTCATGTGATATGGGTCACCTCCCAGCCACCCACCGGTTCTGCTGTATACACACATACCAGTTTACCTAGAGCCCTCGGACTCACTGATACCCAGAACTGAACATTATTTTAGATATGATTTAGCCAGCAAGACAGTGGAGCAAGGACTGATCCTGATCTTTATCTGGACGGCCAGGGCCGTTCGTCCTACAACTCTATGCCTACATGACCGTCAATGTATTGTGAATTCGCTGTACTCTTTCTGGGCCACGTGCATTCAGCTTCCACACTGCAGACTTTTGGGGCCAGATAGCTTGTTGTCGTTGGGGGCTGGCCTCCATCCACCAGATGCCAGTCGTGCACTACTTCCACCCCCTTCCCAAAATGTCTCCAGACCTTGCCAAAGGTCCACTAGGGTCAAAATGACCCCCAGTTGAGAACCACTGCCTACGGCCCTATCTCACTGCTGATTTATGCAGTCCCCAGCTTGCTTTTCCTTGGATTGCTTGTCATTTACGTGTCCATCTTTTATTTTCTAACCTAAATTGTACCACCTTGAATTTTTTCGATTAGTTACTTATCACACTTCTATATACCAGGCTTGTGAAACTGATTAAATCTAGACATTTTATTCCAACATATCAGATATCCCTCCCTACTTTGTATTCTCTGTGCATTCTGTGAATATGCCTTTTGCGTCTTTATCCAAGTGATTGATAAATACTGAGTAAGGCTGGGTCCGGCAAAGGACCTGTTATAGACTTCCCTCCAGATTCATGCCACCCTGCATCATCACCCTGCATCAATTTTCACAATCAGCTCTCCTTTCGTAGATCAGCTCACCTCATTAATTATTGAAATCCAAATATTATGCCAGTCCTGTCAATAAAGGAAAAATGGTTATCCTAAAGGAGTCACTGTTGATCATGGATTCTTTTTCAGTCGTTCAGATGTTATCTAGTATTGATAACTTCTAGAATCTACCCAATGTGCACAAGGACCCTATGGTCTTACAATTTGAAGATCTAGGTTTATCATTTCTTTTTTTTTTTCCCCTATGATTTTCACAGCTTTACTGAGAATAGATCTATTCAGCTTCCTCTTTAAATGCTTTGAGTTCCCACTGTGTGCAAGACACATTCTCACCTTTTTAAGTTCTCTTAGGGCCTTGGGATGTAATTGATTAGGCCAAAACACCTGACTTTTATTCCTTACCTTCCTTGGGCTACAAGGCTATACTCTCCTCCAGTAATTTGTATTTTTCTTTTAAAACTGAATTACTAGACTGTTTGACAGACATTAATTAAGCACCTATGATATGCAGGCATTGGCTAGGCTCTAGGAACAGCAGTGAACAGACAGGCCCAAATCCTCGCCTCAGTGGAGTTTTCTGTCCAGTAGTTCCACCTGGTCCTTCCTCATCCAGGAGAGCAGGGGATGGGGGCAGGAGGTTGATCTGCACTGCCTCTGTGCCCCATGTAGCTTGCGAGGTCCATACGTTATCTCCATTAATTCTAAAAACTGCATAGGTGGGAATTGTTAACTTCCTTTCACAAAAAAAAGAGAAACTTTAAAATTATTAGTTTTAAAGTCACTTTGACACTATAAATTTAAAATCTTCTTTAATAATTTCAATTTTTAAAAATTAATAATGAGGCGTTTACTTCTAAGCAAAGAGATTGAAGATTTGACGTCACAGCAGAAGGGAATCTGAGAGAGCTACCTGGTTTTGACCAGTTTTATCTTCGTGCCTTCAGAGCAGTACTTTCATCATAGTTGTGCAATAGTCCTTTTTTTGTTTTTGTGTTTCCTGTTTATTTGTTTATTCACATTATTTCTCCTCAGAGGCAGTATTAGAAACATACCAAACTTTATGGTAAGGAAATCCACCCCTGGCAGTTTGCATACTTTGACCACCAATGTAACTACCCCCACCTCCTGCGATTAATTTGCTGGATTGCACTGAAGTCACCGGGTTCAACTCGAACCGCCGATGTTGTACTTGCTGTTGTTCACGTATCTGTGCTCTTAACCACTTCTTAAATTTTTCAGATCTTAGGATATCCTCTTCTGGTCTGACTGTACATTTTGGCAGTAAATTACTTCTTTTAAAATCTTTCACTTAGACTGATATCATTTCATCCTTAGATTTACATAGCTTTAAATTGGCACTAAGAAGCTGTGATTTGACTTCATTGTTTTTCTAATTGCATTGCCAAGACAGAGAATATCATGCTTTTCTGAGAATCTTGGATGCTAAAAAATACAGCCGCGTCCCTTGGAAGCTCCTTGAAAAAAATACTTGAGTTTATGACCCCAATGATGAGAACATAAATGGTTTGATCTTTTCAAAACTTTCTTAAAATTGTGTGCATCAAGCAACCACAAAATATGTTTTAATCTCAACTCTTAAACAGAAAGGCTGTATTGTTTAATTTCTCAAGATGTTCATAGCTTAATAAAAAACACATTTTCTGAGGTCCACAACTAAAGGAATCCTTAATGCACTGACTGCTGGTGGTGGATTTTGTTATGTGTTATCACAGAGCTGGGGATTTTTAGATTTTTTTTAACTGCAGTTGATTTGCGGTATAAATTACAATGGTGGTTCCTTCATATCCTCAGTCTTGACAAATGTTAATTGTGCCGTACACTAGTTTTTATAGTTTTATAGTTTTTCCCCCTACTGAGTGGCTGTGTTTAGTGTTTGTGTTATTTATTGTGTTCATATAGATGCTCAGTTATATATTGATAATGTGCATATATGTTGCTAAATGTAGATACAGAAGAAACTATATGCTGTCTGGATAATTAAATGGTCGTTACACGATACTTACAATGAAAGAGTGCCAGGAAAAGTAACCAGATTTTTATTGGGGTTGTTTTACATCTCCAGGAAGAAGATGAGGGCTCAGAAGATGACAGCAACACAAAGCCGGACTTCACAGTCACTCTGAAAACCGATTTCAGTGCACGTTGCTTCCTGGACCAATTTGAAGATGATGCTGATGGGTTTATTTCCCCAATGGATGATAAAATACCATCAAAATGCAGCCAAGACACCGGGCTTTCAAACCTCCATGCTGCTTCAATGTATGTATGTCATTTTGATGGTGGTGTTGAAATGTGTTGATGAGAATACCGTTTTTAAATAATTTAGCCTTTGTATTTAAATAAGTTGCCCTGGGGTACATCTGTGTAAATAGAATGGTGAGTTTTTTTCTTTTACTTCCAGCTCAGCATTTGTATTATTCTCCATTGCATGTTATTTGAGGCAGCATGCAAGATCTTACTTCAACAATCGGGGCTCTAGAATGGCACTCTGTGGTTCTGTGTTTTTCAACTCATCATTTAACATGTACCAAGCACAGATCTTTCTTTCAAAACAAAATGTGATAAAGTGCCATGGGCATTGACAAAACAAAAGTGATAAAGTGATAAGACTTCATAAGTAGCGGGAGCTTTGCGGGAGTCCGGGGAGCTCTATCTGGTTCAGGGGATAGGAAACCGCCATTTCTGCTGACCCTCAGCTCCCTTAACAGATTTTGCATTTCCATGCTTCCCCCCACTTCTCCACAACCCCTGTCAAATTGCACATTCATTATATCTATAACAATTCCAATTTAACCCAATTTTCTTGAAATTTTTCTGTCTCTCTCAGACCGGAACTCTTAGAACATCTTCAGGAAATGAGAGAACAAAAGAAAAGGATTCGAAAGAAACTTCGTGATTTTGAAGACAATTTTTTCAGACAAAATGGAAGGTAGTGCATGCTTCCTTTCCCCTCACTTCTCCCCCTCCACACACACACCCCTCTTTTGCTCCTGTCAGATTTATGCAGTGCTCCAAAGGTGGGAAGCCCTCTGCCTCCTCTCTGTAACCTAGTCCCTTGGTTTGCGCCCAGGGCCCCTGGCAGTTTACGGTGAGATGGTGAGGTCTGTATGATCCTTCAGCAAGAAATGCTCCTTGAATAGTATCCAAGACTGATGTAAATTCAGCTAACATCTATAAAACCTGTCACATCAAATTCTAATCTAAAAAGAGCAGCTTGAAGCTAAGTTTCCAGTTGACAGCACTGGTTTTTGGTTTGGGTTTGGTTTTGTCTTCATAAACTAGAAGGAGAAATAAGGAAAGGGCAATTCTAAACCTTGATGTTTTTAGGCTTATTTTAAAAGCAAAGGTGATTGTTGTCAGGTTTGAATGAAAAATAGACAAGAAGCTGTAAGTCCATGAGACTGACAGTATGCCTTTCTCTGGTGAGTTTCAAGACATGTTATAATCAGCCTTGTAGAGCATTATGCTAAGGAATAGCATCCCCTGTTTGCTAGTGACCACAGACAGCTCTTACTCAGGTCACAGCCTGAGACCGGGAAGGACAGGGAATGGATTTATTTGCCTCTCTTACATGGAAGTTCAGTTTTAACATTTTAAAATGATTTTATTTTCATCCAAATTATTTAAGCAATATAAATATAGTTTCCCTTTAAAAGGTCCCCTTTCATCCTTCTCAAAAGTGTTTGGAAGTAAAAGCACTGTAAACATCAACTTTGGCATTTAAAATGTATTCCAGGTCATTTCAGTTTATCATATAAATTTTGTATTTTTAGCGTCCCTGATTTGGATCTATGAATTTTTATACATAAATACTTGTTTTTCTTTCTCCATGCATTGTATGATATTTAGAAAACATAGACAAGCAGACAAAAGAAATAATATGCAAAATAATAACTGATGATAAACCAGAATTAATGTTTTTTCCATTCTTCTTTCTGAACATATTTTTGGTTTGTCTGTTTATCTTTTTTTTCCATGTAATTATAGTCACTTTATGCAGATATCCTGTTGAGGAGCTATATAAAATTATGTAAACTTCACAGGTTTTAAGCAAGTATAGTTAATGGGAATTTATAATAATCATACAAGTTTTTATGTATGTATGTATGTATGTATGTATGTATGTAATTTCTACACCCAGTGTTGGGCTCAAACTCATGACCCTGAGACTGAGACCCCCATGCTCTTCCAACTGAGCCAGCCAGGTGCATTATCATACACGTTTAAAACTCTGACTTCAGATATCATTAAATCTGGTCCCATTATTTCATATCTGAGGACAGTGAAGCCCCTCAAAGAGCAGGGTGAAGTCAACTCTTAGATGGCTATTCCTTTCATTGCCTTCTGCTGAGAAGCCATCTAGAGCCCTTTTCTTGAACATGGCAGGGCATGAATCAATGAACTTTCAGTTCATTGAGCAAAATTATATAAGCCCCATGCTATCTACTTTCTTATATTTTTCTCTTTTTTTAATTTTTTTTTTTTTTTGAGACAGTGCAAGAGGGGGGCGGAGAGCAGAGAGAGAGGGAAAAAGAGAATCCTAAGCAGGCTCCACACAGAGCCTTATGTGGTGCTCAAACTCACAAACCTTGAGATCATGACCTGAGCCGAAACCAAGAATCAGTCGCTCAACCGACTGAGCCACCCAGGCGTCCCTGTTTTTCTCTTTAAGAAGAAAAGGAAGCCTGGTATTTGAATGTTTGACATGTGCATTTCAAAGTGAAATTAGAAGCAGCTGGGCTGTATTGCTCAGTGGTTGAGAATGTAGACGGCAGCACTATTTCATCAAGCTCTGGTGAGGGTTATATTAGATCATGGACACAGGGTACTTAGCACAGTTCCTGGCCTACAATAAGCTCTCAGTTAGTACTTGCACATATAAAAGGTATGCATATAAGATTCCTAGTAAACTATAAAGCTTTATTAGTATTATGTGATCCAATTGCTGAATTCCAAGACTGATTTTATAATCAGGATATTAACTCTGTGTTTTTAAACCTGTAAATTATGGGTATCCCAGTTGGTAATTAGAAACTTAATAGTTCGTTAGATGAAATCTATAAAAGTGAAAAGACATTTAAGTATAAATAAAGGATTTCAGTCTACAGAGACTCTTAATGCAAATTCATACACCAACATCAGAGAGAAAACATTTCTCGGTTTTTAGTCCTTCATATCATTCTGCAAGATGCCAGATTAACTACAAAAACTCAGTTGCACGGTGCCTTCTGGGGGAAGCTGTCTTTCGCTGATTGTCTAAGCCCAGCATCAGTCTTGATTCCAAGTGACACTTGGGAACACCGATTCTACAGGTTGATAACTGCAGAGTTTCTACATGATGATAATTCACCTGATAAGCAATATCATCTAAACGATCCTCAGCCCCCTTTCCTTTTGTTTCCGTTAGAAGTGTCCAGAAGGAAGACCGCACTCCTATGGCTGAAGAATACAATGAATATAAGCACATAAAGGCAAAATTAAGGCTCTTGGAGGTGCTCATCAGCAAGAGAGACACTGATTCCAAGTCCATGTAAGGGGCACAGCCCCAGCCAGCACTAAGGGGGCTGAAGGTGCAGGCTGGACTTGCTACCCGCCTCCCCTGGTAAATAGCATCTCTGCAAAACCCGGAAGGCAGCGTGGGAGCTGGACCTCAGAGCACACAGCCCTACTGCCTCCGGGCCTTTGGGAGCAGCTCCAGCTTCCATCGCCTGTCTTAGAAGCTGTCTGCATGGGAGAGGGTAACTTGCTCCGACTTAAGACTTTTGCAAGGAACAGTCAAGATCCCACGGGTGCACGTGGATACTGCAGGGGAAGGTTTACTAACATTGGCCGTGCTGAATCACTACGTTGAGACACGCTCATCTACAGAGAATATACACTATTTTTCCCTGGATAATTGAGAAACAGGAGACCATTCTCTGTCTAACTGTGATGAAAACAAGCTCAAGACTTCCCTCTAGAGAACGAACTCGCTGTGCAGGTCCATGTTCTCTTTCCCAGGAAAGTGGGAACACGTGCTGGAGCCCTGTTTGCTGCCTTGGCCATTCTCGTGACCTTTCCACAGAGCTGCGCCTTTCCCCACCCGTGTGGATCGTGTCCCTTTCTGTTCTCAGGAAGACGGAAGCCGTACCTGCCCAAAATGGCAGTGCAGTCATCTATTTGATGGTGTGTTTCTTCAAGACTCCCTCAGCTGCCGAAGCATTTTGTTTCCTGACTAGGACTGGATCATCTGCAGAGGATGGAGGGAATGTGGCTATATTAATGTTGATTTTTAATTCAGGCAACAGGGTGAAGAGCCTGGAAAATTCTTTCCTGAACATGGATTGCACTTATCAGTCTCAGATTTTAACACCAAACACTGAGCAAGGCCAGCATGCTATGACATCCTGTTTGGGGCTTGGTTTCATTTGACTCTTACCAAACATAAAAGATCTTGCTTACTTCTTAGCTTAAGTGTTGAGGATCATGAGAGAGAGAAAGAGCGAGCCTGTGTTCTAACCCTTCTGAGTACTGACCAGAGTTTAATTTTTTTTTTTTAAAGTAAACCTGCACTAAAATCCCCTGAGGGGTAAATGTAGCCCTCAGAACTCAGCCGAAGGCAGAATCTAAATCACACTATTTTCAAGATCATGTACGTATAAAGAGGAAAATAAGGGTGTGTGGTCACTTATGATTATAATTTTTTTCAAAGACTGTGTCACAAAGCTGTCTATATTAGACATTTGGGGAAGACCAGGGAATTTAAAGCACCAAACCATTCATCTCTCGCTGTGCTGATGTCACCTTGTGATTTGTTGTTCCTTTTTAACCTTCTGCATCTGCACTGAGGAAAGTGAATTCTGTTTCTGCCTGTCCGTCCGAGGCCCACCTTTGTGCTTTGTGAGGTTGAGGTCAAGTGTCTGCACACCAGCCACTGGTTGCCAAGAGAAGGCACTTCAGCAGGCTCTGCCTTTTAAAGATCAAGTCGCAGGATGAACAGAAGAGCAAGGCTGCCCTCCTCTGTTTTGAGAGTTGCTTTCTTAAAGGGTACCATTTTGTTTTGTTTGATAATAAGAAGAAAATAAAGAGAACGCTAAACTCTATACAGACCGGTTGTCAGTTTCGAAATGGGCTCTTGAGAAACTGGTCAGACTGGATTTATAGGAGTGTTTTCCATTGCTGAGGTGAGGTAGAAGGTGTCAGTTGAAAATCGTTTTAAGTCGGGAGTGGGGAAAAAGAATACCTTTAAGTTTGCTCTTAACAATAATCATATAGAGAAGCATGAGCTGTGTTTGGAAGTGTCCTGTTTTAATCCACACATTTAAAGACGGTACATATTCCTACAAATTTAAATGTACATGAATATATAGTTTGGTATTCTTTGCTCTACTGTTTACATTACAGATCACTATAATTTCAAGGAGTTATATTATAAATAAAATTAAGCACTTTAGGATGTTTTCTATTTTTGAAATCTGAACATGAATCATTCACATGACCAAAAATCGTATTTTTTAAGGAAATACATGTCTAGTGTGTCCTTTTTAAGTAATTATTCTCTTAAATAAGCTATAATATAAATCAAATCATTACCAGTTAACCTTTAAAGCACATCTGTTGAAGAGTATTGTTTTGAAAATACTAATATGCTACACACAGAATTTTAAAAGAAAAATGCTATATAAATGAGAAGCTACTAAATGTTTGAAATCTGTTGTTTCTGCCAAAGGTAAATTAAGTAAAAGACTTATCCAGGACTCCCCATTCAAATTTGTATGATGAATAAAAGAAAACACCAAGTTACAGTCAAATAAATTGTGCATGGAATGTTGTGTTTTCCTTTGTAATTTCTCATCTGTATACTTCCTAGAATGGCGCCCACATTAAAGGCGGAAAAGCCCTGTTTACACAAGACCCTATTTGAAGACCTGGCAGTGGGTTTTGGCTCTGCCAGAAAGGCTGAGGCAAATTTGTTTCCACAGCAACCATTTCTGCAGCCCAGGGTCTCATGGCCCTAGAGGCAGTGTCTTAATTGGCTTCACACAGAATACTCTGGACTGGGGTTTTTTCCTGTGCTCTCTTGGGAATGTGTGTGTGTTTATTAGCACATGCCAACAAAACAAATGTCAAGGGTTATTTAATAGCAATGATAAGTAAAGGTAAAGCGTGAATAAACTTGATGGTATGATTGTAAGAATGAGAAATAGCAGAGGCTTGTAATTTTCACACACGCATTTGCTTCTTATCGTGTTCAGTCTGGAGTAAACATTGAAATAGATGTTTATATTCAGTACGGTATCATGACTGCATTTCATCTCTGCATCATTTAGTTCAAATCTCACTTTGCAGACATGTTTGTGCAGGGTTTAGGATCAGGACCTGCTGAGTTTTTCAGACAGCATGTTTGTCTTAAACTGGTAGAAGAAAGCTCACACAATCTCAGTGATCTCCCAATTCAGGGGAAATTTCCATCGAAGACCAAACCAAATTTTCAACCAAATTTCAAAAAACTAATTTTTTTGAATTGCTAGCTATAAGAACGCATTGAGAGCTAAAAATTAGATTTCTTCCCTTTCATTGACAGTTTGAAATCTAAAGGTTATTATTTATTGCCTAGGCAGGACTCAGCCACATCTCTGTTTGTGACATTGGTGTCATTTTTGCATTGTCTCATTCTGATGCAATTCTTGCGTGGTGGCTGAAGAGGCTCTTGCAGGGCGTGCCTGCTTCCAGGTGTAGCATTTCTGGACAAATGCCGCAGCGCTGTGCTTGAAGCATAAATGTTGCACTGAGATGTCCTGAGGCCAGCAGTCTTGGAGCCCCTGGGGGCTGAGCATTTGTTAATGTGGTTGAGCTTAGAATTCCTAATAAGCCGAATATTTAGGTTTATACAAGGGGCGGTCGTGGTGCCAATTAGGTTGGTTCTTTCTGGAACTTCTTAGTTCCCAGCAGACAGAATTGGGCCCAGTATCCAGAAATGATCAGATTTACAAGGTAAATCAAATTTCAGTTGGTTGATGAACTTTTTAAGAGATTCTTAATCTGATAATGAAGATACCGCTTTTCTTAACAGTAACACCTTACTACTTTTGATGGTATATTTGTATTTGAGTACCATAAACTATTAACTGCTTTATGAAAAGTTGGTTGTAGTCTAAATTCTGTTTTGATTTCAAGAAGAATCTTCCTGACACACTGCTTCCTGGATTTTTTTTTCCCCACCCCTAGGTGGAGAGAGGTGGTTTCTGCCTCATGATCAACATCTCCTTGATGTTCTTTTCAGTATCCACTTGGTTATGTCAACAGGGGGAGACAAAACTGTACTCAAATGTGAAGCAGTGTTTCTTCTGAAGCACATTGTGTGTGGCAGAACTCAGTGTGCTTTGTTTTCTATTATTCCCTTCTTTTATGTTTTCTCCACTTGACCCTCAAAATGTACTCAAGAGTACATTTTGATGTAAGACTAGCTAAACATATTTTCGAGTGTTCATTCAAATTGTGCACACTCACACCTTGCATGGTACGCTCCAAACAAGAATGATCTATCTATATGTCGGGCACTGCACTGGGGCACTGGCCATTTTGCAGAATCCAGAGTGTGCCCCTGTGGGTGCCTGCCTTCTTCTACCACGATCCTTCATAATAGATGTACATAGGCTGGGGTCAATTACCGATGTACACAAAAATGTTTGTAAAATGAAATCTGTACACCTACAAGTTCATGTGGCTGGGAAGCTGCAGTTATGTCTCTAGAGACTCTCATTTTGCCTGGAACCCAGCCTGTTGTGGTCATGCTCGCGTCTTGAGAAATGGGTTTGGCAGATCTCTTTCTCAGTCTGAAAGCACCTATACATACGGTCATGCAAATCTCCAAGAGTAGATGCAATTTTAGTTACTAATATGGGCCCAGAACAATGTTTACACGACATATAAGCAGAAAGTATTTGAAATTACAGTTGTCCTTTTTTAAAATGTAAACTGAATGAAAAACGTTATGTACATTTTTGTACATGACTGTATTTTGTGTAAACTTAAATAAAATATTTTTAACTGTGAATGTTCTGAGATTTTTGACAAAATCAGGAGTGTATGACAGCTGCCTGTGTGGTCTGACCTTAAGGTAAGGAATCACTGCTGTTCCCTGAACTCCCCAGAAGCTTCATGAGGATTAAGCTTTTGTTATTCTGTTTCCAGGGAGGTCACTGGAAGGTGAAGCAAACTCATTACAAATTAGGCATGCCCATGGTTCTAGGTAAAAAAAATGGGCTTTTGCTCTGTGGTCTATTCATGGAAGGGCCTGAAGGGGCAGAAGTGAAGGCATTAAACTAAAAAAAACGTGTTTAGTTAAGTATCTTTGCAAAGTCAATGAGGCCATTATAGTAAATTCATTAGCTACTTATTGTTCTGACGCTAATAAGGCCAGCCGAATACTGTGACTTGGAGGAAAAGATGCATTTCAGTTTGAAGTGAGCATCTTGCTCCGTGCATCAGCTGCCACAAGCCAGGCACTGCCTCACGAGCACCTTGAACAGCCTCCAGAGTTGGGGGGCACAGC